GAAGACCTTGTCGACGCGCCCCGCGGGCAGCTCGACGTTCTTGTCCGGCTCCGGCAGGGCGCGCGCCGCCGGATCGGCGCTCGCGTCGACGACGTAGGCCTGGACGTAGACGTCGTTCTTGCCGACCCAGTCCCCCTTCCGCAGACCCGTCGCCTGCCAGCAGCGGACAACGACGAGCCCCGTGGCGTCCCGCGCGGCCGACAGCGTGACCTCGCCGAGGTCGCCGCTCTTGCCCTTGCGGTAGAGCGGCATGGACACCGGCTGCCCGCCGGCGAGGATCGTCTGGGACATCAGTTCGCCGAGGCGCACGACGCACTCGCCGAGCATGTCGTCCCTCTTGCCCCAGTCGTAGTCCATGACGCGCACGGCGAGCGTCTCCGTGCCGTCGCAGGCCGTCGGCATGTCGCCGCCGCCCGTCGCGGGGTCGTAGACCGCGTTCTCGCCGCACTCGTCCAGGAGCTGCGTGCGGTAGAAATTGCCGAAGACCGTCGTCGTCTTGCTGACGTACTTCTTCTCCGCGTGGTAGTCCTTGCGGTCGTCGCCGCCGCCCGTGTGCCAGTGGCCCACGCCCACGCCTTCGAGGCGGATGCGGATGCCCCGGCACTTGATGGGCTTCGTCGTCTCGAGGACCAGGCGGCCCGTCACCGCGTCGCCGGGCCAGAAGCAGCCCGACTCGCTGTCGAGGGTGATCTCGTAGTTCGCGATGGCGCTGAACGCCATGTGGGGCAGCCTTCCCAGCCTTGTTGCTAGAATGCTGGTCGTGCAACACTCACTGCAACATCATTTCTTTGGCCCGCTGGAAACACGGTTCGGAAAGCAAACGATGTTAAGAGAAAGAGCGGGGTCCCAGACGGCGGTGGGCTAGACGAAGAGGTGGGAGGCGTCGAGGTTCTCGTCGGTCATGGCCTCGAGGCTCGTGACGCGCTTCGGCGGCGGCGGCGCGGCGAAGGACCCGAAGGTCGGCGGCGGCGGCGCGGCGAGCGACGGGAACTTTGGCCCCGGGGGCTCGACGACGGAGACGACGGAGCTCGAGCGGAGCGCCTTGAGGCACGCGTCGACGTCGTCGCGCGCGGACGCGAGCGGCGATATGCCGGGCGTCGCCTCGCGGCCCGACCGGCGGAAGGCGTCGCCGTCGACGTCGAGGCCGAGCTCGCGCGCGGCGTCGAGCTGCCGCCGCCGCTCGGACCGCTCCGGCGACGGGCGCCGCGGCCGCTGCCGCGCGCCCCGCTTCGCCGGCGACCCGACGGGCTTGCGGCGCACCTGGGCAGCAAAAGAGAAATTCAACATCGCTTCAACGTGAGTGTTCCGCGCGCGCGCGTTCCAAAAAATCATCAACGCTTCGAGGCTGTTCCGAGAGATGATCGCTCGTCCAAAAATCAGCCGAAACGAGTGGAAAACGGCCGAGAAAGGAGCCTTTGAAGTTGGGAATTTCGCCTCTTTTGCTGCCCTGCGGCGCACGTCGAGGCAGTGGGCGACGGGCGTCGTCGACCGCCGGCCGGGCACGGCGGCCTTGACGGCCTCCCGCGGCGGCGGCAGCGACGGGCAGAACGACGCGTCGTCGTCGAAGGGCGGCGCGATACTCGCGTCGTCGCCACCGGCCGCCGCGCCGTCGACGGCGGGCAGCCGCGCCGTCGGCGCGCCGCTCTCGGGCGAGTAGTGGGCCGCGGCGCGCCGCGGCGTCGGCCGCGGCGGCGGCCGCCGCGGCGCGGGGACGAGCTCGGCCTCGTCGCC